CCTCGGCCTCCCAGAGTGCTAGGATTACAGGCGTGAGCCACCGAGCCCGGCCTGCCACCCCCATTTATTGAGCTATATACTTGATGGACCATTTAAACAGAAGATTCATATCCTTAAGTCTGAAAATTTTTCTTTACTTATCCATTTAATCATTTCCTTCCTCCCATTTTCTCCCTATTTTTTTTTCTTTCTAGAACTCTTATTAGTTGTATATTGACTTTCCTGGACAAAGTGCCTAATTTCCTTCCCTATTTATATATTGTTATCTTTTTGTTCTAGTTTCTAGGGGTTACCTTCCATTTTATTTTGCAGCTCTTTTATGGAATTTTTGAAATTTGAGCTCTTGTGTGCTTAAAGAGTCACTCATTCCTTGTTCATTGATTGTTCTTTTGTCAAAGAGTGGGTGCAGTATCTTCTCTTATTTCTATGGGGCAATTATAGCAAACTTTTATGTGTTCCCTCCAATATTTTTGTTTCTACTGGGCTCCTTTTCTCTTTTTGTTTGCTTTAGTCTCTCTTTTTATCCTGGATGTTTTTTAGTTTGGGGGTCCCAATAAATAATACCCACTTTTCCTCCTGAAGTTGAAACTAGTTGAGAAATAAACCTAAGAAACACACAGATGGAAATAAATTATATATGAAAGCTGGATTGAAAGACAGGCTTTTTAGGTCTGTGGCCAGGTTGGCTTTCTCATATTTATACCCAGAATTGAACTTCGCCACTGAATGGTTGTCAGAGACAGGCAACTGCAGACCAACTATGCAGGAGAAAGTCCCTTCCCACGCTGCAGAAAGCATGCATCCTGAAGACTTGCTAGCTCAAATGAAAGAGAGGAAGGGTCTGATCAGAGCATGCCTAGTTTCTGACTAGCTCAGTGAGTGATGGGAGGGAAAGGGAAGCTAGAAGTGTTACTGCATCAAATTCTTGTACATAAAGCCACCTTTCCCTTCAACACCTTTCCTTAAATGTCCAGTAATTCTTTTCTGTCCATTCTGTTTTAAATTGGAAGTCTTATGTGCCTACCTCTAATATAATATCTGGCAAGTTTCACTGTAGTGTGGTAGGGTGACAATTCAGTATTTTGTTCGTGAGCTCCTACCCCTAACTCCTCCCCAATATCAGTATTTAGAGCTCTTTTCTCTGAGGGTGTTCCGTTTTTCAAAAGGAGAGTCCTTTGATCTTTCCAGTTGGGCATTTGTGGCAGCTAGCTTTTCAGCAGCAGGACTTAGAGTCTGACCTTTTAGTATATAGACTTTTTTTTAAACCCTTAGTTTTAACCCCAGTCTCAATGCCACCTTTCAGTGTACCTGATGTCCCATAGTTTGGGACTGCAAAAAAATAAGATAAATAAATGAAAGGAGAGTTACCTGGCTGTGAGAGCTGGGCCGGAGGGTGGGTTAGGAGGGGCCCTAGAGTTCTAACTGCTCATTACACATCCAATCCCATTTTAGTCCAGCACCTTTCCACCATCTGCCCCCTACTCCTGGATGGTGCCTCTCTGCAGGCACCCAAAGTGACTCTTCCTGTGCTCTACTGACTCAGTTACCATTCCACTGTCATTTCTACTTGCAAAATCTGTTGAAAGGTGTCATTATTTCTCATTCCTTCTTATGTTGACCCTTTTTATTCCTTTGCTATGATTTTAGATTTGGGGAAAGAGAAGAAATAGAAGTAGCCAAGCTAGCATATTTAACTAAAAGTCTAACAGGTTTTATTTCCACATAAGCATGAATATACGGCCATTTTTATGCTCTGAAAACTTTTATAAACTTGTCTTTCTCATTTAGCAACTTTTGGTGTTAACAGATTACTCTGTTTCTGTTTATCTCACATAACTGGAAATTCTCTCATTATCTACAAATGGGATTAAAATGAAAGCAGGCCTACATGGGAATGTTGATTTACTGGAGATATTCACTTGTTTTACTGTTGAAAATACTTTCCATAAAAGAGGAAACTTGTTTTCTTAGATGAGTTCCAGAGAGGCTTTAAAATAATAGTTATAGAGTTAATTGTATTATTTGTCTTACAGAAAGGAGAAAGTTGGCAAAGCAGCCTGAAACCGTTTCTGTTGCTGAACTCAAAAGTCTGTTAATACACACAAGGGAACGCTTTTTAGATCATTTTGATGCTATTACTCTTAAAACAATTCCAAGAAAGACAGACAAAATTAAAACCTCTAATATGTTAAGTGGTAAGTTTTTTGTTACTTTAAATTTTAATTTCTTTTTTGTGTGTGTGTGGCATCTATGACAGTTATTATTAAAACTTATCAAATGATTGATCATATCAAAATATATTTTATAAATTTAAGTGATAATATATATTTATATATACAAGTATGCACGCATATATGGTGAACTGTATTTCTCATCATTTAAACATTACAAATTTGCTTTTAACTTCTTTCATTCAGTATGTTCAGTATAATTGTTTTTGAGCAGAGGTAGAAGCATTTTAAAGTGATCTCTCTCATTAGTCTCACTAAGCTGCTAGAATGGGTGGATTTCTATCAAGCTATATTTGTGAGGAAAGCAAAACCTGCATAGTAAATTTAATAGTGGTAAACTTCATATGGTAAAATACTCCGTGTTTGCCACTCAATAGGGCAGGAACAGTCACCAAACTTCACTGAGGGAGCAGGAAATCATTTCAGTATTTAATTGGATTTCTTTCTCTTTTCCTGGGTTCTGTCGTTGTGATGAATTTGAATATAGAGAAGCTTTTTAGGCTCTAACAAGAAAGCATTTGAAGATTGCCTGACACAGTTTTAAGTGTACTGGACAATTTTTTGTTTTTATTCTGTGAGAATCATTTTTATTGCGTAGGTTAATAAGAAAATGACCACAAAATCAAGTTAACAATAATGTTTGTTGAGTTCCTTTTCTGTGTTTGACACTGAAGGTACTCAAAGAAGTAAAAATCTCGATCCTTTGCTTTCAACAGGCTTATGATCTATTTGGAAAGCAAGACATAAAAACAGTATATAGTACTTGTGTAAAAACACAGGCTCTGGAGCTAGACCGTCAGTTCAAATCTCACTTTTGTCACTTGTTAGCTGAATGTCTTTGGACAAGTTATTCAACCTCTCTACGACTCTGTTTCCTCATGCTAAAACGAGAGTAATAATATAACCCACTTGCTAGGGTTATTGTGAAGATAACCCTATTGCAAGGATAACCCTGAGTTGATACATGCGAAACACTTAAGAACACAATAAATACCAAAAAAATTGTTATTCATATTATCATTATCATCAGTATATATCACTACCCAAGTTAAATAGCATTACAAAGTAATCTGAAAGATTCTAGAGACATCATTAGATTACTTGTAAATAGGGGATGTGTTCAGTAAGTGAGAGAGCATAGCTCCATGGTTATAGCATAGGCTCCGGAGCAAGACTAGCAAGATTGAATACTGGCTCTGTAGCTTACTTGCATGTGACCTTGGGCATGTTTTCTGACCTCTTTGAGACTCACTTTCTTTATTTTTAAATTAGGGATGACATAGGTTGTTGTGAAGATTAAATTAGTTATTTGTGAATTGCTTACAAAGTTGTCTAGTATGAAGTAAGTGCTGGTTAAATAAGTGAATACAAATTTACAAGAGACGAATATAACTAGGGTAGAGTCATCACAGAAGGCTGTTTAGGAGCCAAGGGACTTGATGTAGGTCTTAATGATGCATAAGATCTAGATAGAGAGGAGAAGGTAGGATTTGCCAGGTGGGCGAAGCACCAAACTCAGAGTCATGGGAGGTAAGAAAAGGCAAACTGAGATCTAGAGAGAGGTTGGCTTACCAGAGGATTTATACAGGAGATAAAGGTTAAGTAGGAAGGGCTCAAGTAATTGCTAGGGCTTTTATATAAGTTTAAGGAAATGTATCTTAGAGTTATCAGTATGAAGTCAAGTTCTAGGACACTGTTAACACACTGGGCCACAAAAGTTCTTATCTTAGAATGTAAGTCAGATTATGTCACTCCTTTATTCAAACCTTTTTGATTGCTTCCAATTGCACATATAATGCATCATCCTTATCGTGGTTTGTAAACTGGCTTCGTGTTTATTCTAGTCCTCCGGTGTCACATTTCTGTTTCCTTGTTACCGCAGAAAGTCTGTCCTTTCCTTAGTTAGCTATGTCACATTCCTTTCCACCTCCGAAACTTTACATATGCCATGTCTTCTGCCTGGAATTCTTTTCCTCTAGTCTTTCCCTGATTAACTGATAGTCATTTTTCAGATCTTGTTTTAAATATCACTTTCTCAAAGAGGCTTTCCCAGACCTTCCTCTGTTTAAATTATTTCCTGTTATACTCACTCTCTATAGGTTTTCTTCAAATTATTGATCACATTTTCAAAATATGTACTATTCGTGTAGTTATTTATTAAATATTCATCTTTTCTCCAAAGCTTGTGTTCTCTGAGGGCAAGGAGTGTGCCTGTTTGCTTTCTCCAGTAATCCCAGAGGCTAGCACAGTGCCTGACACAAAGGGGTAGAATTGTTATTTTATTATTTCAGACATTTTAAAGGAAACTTCTAGTATGTGTTTATAATTCTTGCTTTTATTAAACAGAATATATCAATTATAATATAACGTAACCTTTTGTGATTTATTGATGTTTATTCATATTGCTATTATAATCGTCTATATTCATTAACCATATATCATCATCATGATATTACTTTCTTTTTGTTTCCTGTGATTTGTGACTTTATAGGTCAGTTTTCCCTATTTCCCTATTGTATTGGTTTTTTTTTTATTTCTCTTAGAAAATAAAATGCTTTTTTAAAAAGCAATATCCTTGGTTTCTCTGAGAGCCTTTGTGGTTTTTGTTTGAAAGCATGGCCCAGTGTCCTGACTGCCACAAAAATAAAATATTGTGTTTTATTTTACTGTAAGAATTATATTAAACCATTTTCCAAAAGACTTATTAACACGAATATTTTTTCACCTATTCCTTAATATTTAGCCTATGTCATTTATTTTTATATAGGTTGTATAGTCAAAGACAATAAGTATATTGTATTATTTAGGAAAAATTTAATGTTTATGTTATTTAAGATGGCTTGCATTCTTTTGTGAACTCATTGCATGCAGCTGTGCAGAACTGCTAATGATTTTTTTTCTTTATACTTTTAGCGGAAAGCCATGTCAACATTCAGAAGCATATTATTTTATTATAATGCCCATTACTCTATAAAATAATCAGTATTTGACTACCCTTATGAAGAAATGGGAACTGGTGTGTTTGGATGGTGTTCGGTGAGGGCAATCCAATAAAGGCATTGAAAATATTTTAAAATATTCAAGATTAAATAGTTTAATAAGTAAAGGGACAATAATATACAGTTGGATTCCATTTCCATTTACTTTTTTATTAAAAAATTCCTTTACCAAATTATTCTTTTGGAAGACCCCTCTCTCCAAAATATAAAATGGCATTTTTGTCAGCATAGATGGTTAAACAGCTAACATCCAATAATTTTCAGTCAATTTATTAGAACAGTATGTAATAATTTTAAAACCAGATAGTTTTGGAATCAAAAAAAATAATACAGTGAGTAATTTTGCCAGTGGTAAAACAATTTGTATATAAAAATAATTTCTAATGAGAATGGAAGCTGTTCCTTTAGGTTTTGTTGAGAATCCCAATGTTACCAGCAATCTCAATGTTAGTTCACTGCAGCATATTAGCTAGAATAATAAGCATAGCATTATTATGTATAATACTTTATTAGTAGTAAAATAACAAGTGATGTTAGTGATTTGAAGATGTAGATGTTAAGACATCTTGTATTGATCTATAAATGAGAATTATTTCTAAAGTAACCTTTACCTGAGAACAACATAAGTTATTTATTATTTTTTTATTATACTTTTGAGAATGAGGCAATCTCTTTTTAAAATACATGGAAATTTTCAGTCTAATTGTACTAATTCCTGTTACTAGTATGAAGATCTCACACTATATTCAGTATGTTCTCTACAGAGTTGTCTCCTTTTCATTTAGAACTAATTTCACTAAAAATAGCAAAGTTAAGCTTTTATTGCACATGAGTCCTATTAATGCTAATTCAGTTTTGAGAATTCTAACTAACTTTTATTATGAGGAGATATTTTATTTTTATTTCCAACAAACGTTTCTATGGCATTTTGCATAGTTCAGGCCAACAGAGAAGTCTTCAGTAAATATTTAAGGTAAAGATTATACCCAACATGCCTTTATACACACACACACACACACACACACACACACACACACATGTATCTGTCTATAAATATGCATTTTTGTATAAAAAAATTCAGTATGTTAAAACTTTTCACTACTTATGTGTATTTCTTTCTCTTTAGATTCTAGTCCAGTAGCACCTGATTCCTCAAGTCTAATGGAAACCAATCCTCTGGAGTGGCCAGAAAGGCATGTTCTTCAAAATTTGGAAACTTTCGAAAAAGCTAAACAAAAAATGAGGTAATATTTGAATTTGTAGTAAAGCATCCTATAGCGCAGTATTTTTTTTTTTTTATTTCAGCATATTATGGGGGTACAGATGTTTAGGTTACGTATGTTGCCCTTCCCCCCGCCAAGTCCGAGTTTCAAATATGTCCATCCTTCGGGTGGTGTATAGCGCAGTATTTTTAAATGAACTCTTTTTTTCTGAATCTTTAAATTATGTGTATGAGATACAAGCAGTTTATAATTGTATTATAAGAGAATACCTGCTTGCTGTAAGTAGATAGTCAATAGATTAGTCTATTGGTTAAAAGTGAAATGCTTATCTTTCTCTGCCATTTACTTGTACTTGGCAGTTCTGTGTAATCACAGTGAACATTTTGCTATATAGCTGTCCAGACTACCTTCCATATACATATTTGTATACAAAAGTATATGAATATATAAGAAAAACTTAGTACAGTAGCATGTAAAGTGAAGTAGAAGTACTCTCCTCATTTGAACTACTTCGAAGTATTCTTGTTTTATATTCATGTGTGTTTATGTTACACCTATTAATGAACTCCATTGTAGTGGTGAGGTCACTTGGTGACCATGGGAAGAAATGAAATGAGGGCTTAAGGCCATTCCTTGACAATCTCTGGTGTTTATAATTTAAGAGGAAGGAGACAAGAAAAAAGAATGAGGAAAGGGAAGTTACCCACAAAAGAACCTCAATTTCTTGCCTACCAGTTTTAGATGGTATCATTTTACTTTCCTCTATGAAAGATGAAGAAATTAACACCCCTACTTTTCTTCCTATTCTATCCTCCTCCTATCTCTAAACCTTACATTCTTTGCAATAATACATACATTTTTTCTTCCTAAAATTTTCTTTTTTTTCGCTTCTCTTTGACTGCCTATTCTAACTTGTACTTACTGTACTTGCACAGCTGTAATCCTGGTATTTCGTTTAATCACATTTCTAGATTAGTTCTGTGTTTTCTTGGATCTCCTATCTTAAGAAGTCTGATGCCAGATAGATTTTTATTCCAAGTATTTTATTCTGTCTCTAAAATTTTTAGAATTTTCTGTTTTCCTTAATGTTCTGAAATTACATGAGGCTATGGTCTAGGATGTTTTAGTCTTAAGACTTTTGTCTTTTTTTGGCTCTGGGAAATATTCTATTATTTCTTCTATAATATTCTTCCCTCCATTTTTTTCTTTTTACTTTGAGATAACTATTTTTAACTAATATTAAATGTTTTGGATTGATTTTTTACTTTAAATTTTATTTTTCTCCCAATAGTATATGTATGTCCTTTCTGCTGTGTGTCTGGGGTATTTTCTTTACCTTTGCTTTCATCTTTTCTGTTAAAATTTTTGGTAGTCATATGTCAACATCTAATAATTTTTTCTTGTTCTTCTAAACCTGTTTTTTTCATAGCAACCTGTTCTTTTATTAATAATGAGACTTGACATGTTACCATAAGGATATTAATTAGAATTTTCTTTAAATTTATCTGTTTCTTGAATGATCTCACTTTACTTTGCAACTGTTTTATTTGTTCCGCTGGTGCTTTTCTCTTATGTGTAGTTTTTCTCCATTGTCTGATGGTCCTTGATTGTCTGCTCATAGCTAAGAATTTAGAGCTGGGTTGCTGTAGGTAGTTGACATGTATTTTCTCTCCATAGGTGTAATCCTGTTCCCCACCTGCTCTCACCTGTATTAATGTTGGGGGAGAAGTGATCCAGGATAGAGCATGTTTGGCTGACTTCACTTTAGGGCAAACTTTAGGATATCATTAGGCAGGGAGCTTTGGCCCTTAACCCAACATTAAATTAGGATGTCTTTATTCTCAGCCGTCAACATTGACACTAGGAAAAGCACATGGGGTTCTGTATCTTTAGAGAACAGTCTCTCTGTTTTTAACTCGGAGGTAAAAGCACGGGGTCTGAAGGTAGGTAAGGTGGATGTAGGAAGGAAGGGGCTACTTGTACAACTGTTCTATGTACTGTTCTTAAAATTTATCACCTTGATTTGTGCCCATTGCCACTCTCTGATCCCAAATTTAGAGTATCACGGTGGCTTTGTGGGAAAGCAAGAAGACACATTACCTTTTTGTAGGTTTGTTTCTCTTCTTGCTGAAATGCTTGCTCTAGTTTATCCCTTGTTGAAATTCGTTGATTTCTTTGGTCCACTATTTTTCTCTTCTTCTTTTTCTTAACCCTATTATGAATTTAGTTATGAATTTAATCTCCTATATTTCAACATCGTGATTTCAATTTGTTTGAGCAAAGAGCTTAGTGTGTATGTTTAATCTTCCATCTTGAGCTAGAATGTTATTTGTCAAGGTCCAGGTCAAATATCACCTTTCTCTTAAGCCTTTTATAAACGCTGCAACTCAATGTTATGTTCCTTTTTTAAATACCCAAGGACTGTGTTATTACTTCTTTCATGAAATTTATTTTCTTTTACGTTTTCTGTCTCATTGTACATCAGTATATTTATCTCCTCTCACTCTCCCTTGCCTCCTTTCTCCTACTTTAAGTCATACCTATACAGTAAATTATGAGCTTTGATTATGGGTCTATAAATTATGGTAAACTCTATAGTACCTCACAATGATTCTACAAAGTAAATGCTCAATAAATGCTTGGGGACACTTCAAAAAATAGGGAGACACCATTGCATTCTTAGTTGGGAGCAAAAGTTATGTTGCGTATTTTCAGAATTTGTTTTGTATTCAAACACATTTACCTGGAGAATGAAGGATCATTATATAGTGAAATTCAGAAGTCATTAAAAACTTGGTTTTAGACACACTTCGTTACTTGTTTTGTGACTTTGTTGCCTCATCTTTTAAGATAGAGATAAACATCCTAGTTCTACTTCAAAGTTGTGAAAATTTAATGAGATGATATGTGAAAAAATACTTTGTAAGCTTGAAGACACTGAACAGAATAAGGTGATGTCAGTGTTGTTTTTTTAACTTGAGACATATCTTAGTGTAGTGTAATTTATCACAAACAGAGCTTTCAAATTGCTTTGATATCCTTATGTTTACGGTTCCATATAAATGCAAATTATACATTTCCCTATTACATCTAGCTTATAAAATGATTGAGTGTAATACTCATTAAGAAACCTTTGTGAGTCACTATTAGAGGGTAGCTATATAGAAATTAAATTCATAATTCACTTACTATGAAATTCAAAGAAAATATTTTACTATTTTCTTACTTGACTATTTTTATTAGATTTTTATTCTCATTTTAAAAGTACAGGAATAGGAAGGGGAAAAAAGCACTGTTGGTATGTTATTCATCCTTAATGTATAGAAATAATGTCTGCAACTATAGTGTCAATATTTTAATCATGGTAATTATCAGTAAAACAATCTGAGTAATAAAATAATCAGATAATAGTTGAATTAATATAAAGTTAGGAAATTAATTTTATGTACAGACGTTATGAAGGTTTTATTTATGCTGTGGTGACAGAGCTATGGCGATCTGTGATTCGGTGCTTAATAAATCCCCTAGCATTCTCTGAAACTGAAGTATTTTCCTCTTTCTAGTTTTTAAAACTTTCTATGAGCTTTTTTTGGTTTCTAGAGTGATAGAGGAGAAATAGTAACTAATTTGGATTCAGTCTAGTTCTAACTCTCATTTTAATTGGCTGTGTCACCCTGGGGTCTGTAATGTAACTTATTGTGTGTTAGTTTCTTTATCTTAAAAATAAGAATAATGATTATTTTTTAGGCGTGGTATATTGATTTTCACTTTACAAAATAATTTTATCTCATTTTGAGATAAGACCTATTCCATCTTTTTGAAGGAAATTTGTGAAGATTAAGAATATATTGTACGTAAAGTAGTTTGAAAAGTATAAAGTCCTGCATGTATTTCAGGTGTAATAATGCTTCAGTGCTTATTCATAATGTCATAATCATGGCTAGAAGAGACCTTGAAGAGATTTTTGATTACTGTTTCGTTTCATGGTTGTGCTTCAATTAATCTTTCAAGTTCATAGAAAATTGGAACATTCAGTCCCTGCCTTCAAAAATTTACAACATTGTAGATTTCAGAACATGCAAGAGTTTA